AGCAGCAACAAACCTGCAACATAACCACAGGACTGTGTTCGTTTGCACAGCAAATTTGTTGTTTTGATGAATTCTACAGTTTTTGCTGCAAATCAACAGGCCTGTTGTGTATTGACACATTTCATGCAGTCTCATGAAAATCTGTAGATGGATTAAAACATTTGTCTCGGTTAATGATGCCCTCAAAGTTGTCCATTCATTTCTTCTCCCTGGGTGTCTTCATCCAAAACACTGGATCACTGGGGCGATAGCTGTGGGCTCCATCTTCTTCTTCCAGTGAATCTGGCCAAACTAATCTGTAGTTTAAATAAAGGTGGACCTTCGGGTGTTTATTGACAAGGATTTCAATGCAGGCTTCATGTGATCACTTCAACCACTGTTTTCATTGGTGTAAATTGAAAATTGAGTCCCAGCTCAACAGGATTATGGTGAAAGAAAGTTTCAGTTTCTCATTTCATTTTCTCATCTGTTTTAGTTTTCTCACTTTTAGAATGTTTGTGCTGGTGGTTTAATAAAGGGCAGATTCCCAGAGCATTTTAATACAAGCTGCGGTCAAGTGCTAACTGATGTTCCTGCACATCTGGAACCAAACTTAGCTGCTGTCAGAGAGCATGATAAAACAGCTTGAGCATACATACACAATGTGTCTATATGCATATGTGTGTGTGGGTGAGTACTGTAAAAACGGCTGTTTTCTGTCATGGCCAAAGCAACAGACCCATAAATAAAATACCACCGGAAACTTTAAACGATTGGCTTTTTGTATGGACAAATTATTTAGGTTTGTGTTTCAGATTTCTCAGTGATATGTTGCACTCTGTTTGACATGAAAACTGAAACTGCATTGAGCTCTGGGATCTTTTTAATCATAGTGACTGAAAACAAATGCTTACTTTTGGAAACAGATATTATACCAGCGCAACAAATTCCTAATGGATTCAAGACATACAGATGAAACACTTACAACAAATTAAACAACTGTTGTTCTTCTCTGTCTGTTGAATGGCCTCTTGTTCAAATTTGTTGATCTCTTGTATTGATACAGGTTGTTTTTGGTGCAGAAGGAAATAGTTTTATGCTCTGTTTTATGAATTAGGGTGAGTGTTTCTGTGTGCATGTGGAGAAAGAGGCAGCGTTTGTGTGGGTAAAGAGAAGGAACAAAGCACTAATTGGGGAAAACATAAAACTGAGCATTCTGTGGCGTTGGTCCATAGCAGTGCCAGCGTGGTTAACAGGAACACACCCCTGAAAATGGGTCAATACTGAAAAAAAGAGCCCACATATCCAAAGTACCCAGTAACATCTTTTTCTCCATTCCTTTCCATCCACAACATTTTGATCAATGTCAAAGCGATCCCTGATTACTCTCTTCTTCATGCACTCTGTGGCTGTGGAGTGATGTCGCGTGTGTTGGGCTAATATGACTATAAAAGGTTGGAGCCATGGAGCCTTAACACTAATCTGGGTGCAGAGCCTCTTTTATTAGCTCTGCCTGTGTCTGTCTATCTCTGTGTGTGTATGTGAGTGAGAGACAAAGATAGACATAGAGGAAGCAGAGAGGGAGTGGAACATAACACGGCAAAATTGTCTCAGTTGTACTTTATAATAAACAGAGACAGAAACACATTTTTTTGTTGAGTGATCAAATTTAGCTGCACTTGAAGTGACAAAAGAGTGGTTAACATTAAGAGCTAATTCATAGCAAGAACCACCACAAAGTGATACGTGTGTGTTCAATGAAGTGGTTTGTGTGGTTCTTTTTCCTGGTGTCAAAGGAAACAAATGACCTCACTCCCTTTTAGGACACACTTGGTCCTCATGTGTGACCAAGAATGGTCAGAACTTTAGCTACAAAGTGCTTTCGTTCTCTAAGGAAAAGAATAAGTGACATGTTATTAACAATATACAACCAAATTGTTGGTTTATGTAGATGCTTATGCTTTAGCTGTATGCTCATTACACAAAATGTGATATCAGTAATTGTTATGTAAGGGTGTTGGTGTAGCAGCACAGTACTTTCATGTTGTTCCCAAACACAATGCTTTGGTGTCATTGGAAAAAGACAAGTAATAGAGTGTGTGTCATCCTACACACATTTCCAAATTTGTCACTGACTTCCCTCAGCCTGCTGATAAGACGGGCTCTGGCTTATATGACACACACTGACACAATGTTCTGTCCAACGCCCTGTCTGTCAGTGATGGTCACTGTAATTTCTGGAAAGTAATAAAACTCCATTAACTGATCTGAAATAGGTCTTGAAATGTCAGGAACTAAACAAAAGCATATATTTTGGACAAAAACATCACAATGATAAATACTTAGGCAGGAATTAAAGAAATTATGTACAAACTATGTCTGTTTCAGCTGTATCAATCTACTTAGATAAAACCATTACCAATAAGAGCTTGTTTCAGTATGGTGCACTAGAGAACACATAACTACACATTTAATTTAACTTGATTATGTTTGAGAGTGGAGTTAAACCCATTAATGTGCCTGTTAGCCAATGTTTAGTTAGAATTATATATTACATAATACTGACAAGAAAAAGTATTAAATCAGTGCCGTATTGGTGCATGTTGAACAGAAAGATTGATGTTAAATACCAGTCCTTCATTCTGAAAACAAGAAAAAAAACATGTTTTCTTGTGCAGGTTGAATCTGTTTCAAATTAAGCAGTTTCCTCCAGTGTGGAAGTCAAGCAATTAAACTTTGTTTTCATGCCAATATTTAAAGCATACCTCAAAAGTCCTGGAAGGGACTCAAAAAACAGAGACAAGAGAAATTTCATGAATATTTTTTTTAACTGTGTGCAAACTGAGCAGTGTCTGACATATGGTTCTGCAATGCTCATAAAGCTGGCAGGTGGCTATACCATGTAGTGCCCCTATAACATTTAGTCATCTTTTTAAGAACATTTTGCAAAGTAGAAAATGACATAGTTGCTTTTACAGGGACTGGATTCGCTTTACTTGATGAATATTATAACAACAAAGTGTGTGTCAAGTTAAAAGTTGTTATTTTGCTAGAAGCAGACCTTACAGAGCACCAGCCTAGTTACACTGCTACTCATGCTGCTGTTGAAATGTATTTCTAAATTCTAAAGAACATTCTGCATTATCAGTTTGGTAGATGCCAACTTTCATATAAGGCAAAATGTTGAGTAAAAATCTTGCTTTCTGTTCAATATACTTTCAAAATACCATGTTTTACCATTTTATTTTCTAAACAATTTTCAGTTTGTTTAAGCTTATATAAGGTTCATTAAGCAACTAATTTATAAGAAATGGTTATATGATAAATAGTAATGGAAAAGGTGGACTCAAGGGTGATGTTTACTGTGATCTTGTTTCCTCTCTCAGCACCCACACACCCACACAAGACTTGTCTTATTGAGCTTAAAGCCTATAACAGGTCATAAAGAAGAAACAAATGTAACTCAAAGATGAAGGATTCTACCATTACAGTAGAACCTACATCATGTGTTAAAGAATCAGATCTTTCATTACTTTACCCAAATAATGCAATGGAATGGATCCTGAGATTAATATAAAGTGAATGTACACTTCCCACATGACTTTGACTGAATAATCCTGACTGGGATGTTGCTGGTGATCTAGTTAATTTAAGGTGTTGGTGTTTCTTGTGTTTCTGCAGCTGACAGAGGGTGGAAAGGCAGCTAAAGGTGGTATTGCTATTGGAGATCTGGTTCTGTCTATTGATGGCATCACCACAGATGGCATGAACCACCTGGAGGCACAGAACAAGATCAAGAGCTGCACCGGCAACCTCAGCCTCACCCTGCAGAAGTAAGCCATTACCATATGTGTGTTTGTCTGATTATAAAACCAGTGTCAAGCCGCTGCTTTTTACAGTGTTTTAATGTGTGAACGAGAACGGGTGGTCCCTCTATGACAACACAGGATCTATACACGCCCTCTCAAACCTGCCAAACAGCCCATCTCTGTGTCAGATGTACGTGCTTCCCCTTTCCACCCCAGACATCCTACATCCAGACAGATGTTCACTGTTGTTGCAAGAGTTAATCTCAGCTCTAACACACTGTAACACCATTAGTTCTGCCTGATCTTGTACTCCCTAACGGAAAGAGGAATAACTGAAATCACAGCGAGCGCATCGCACACTCTAGACCGACTCCTAACTGTTTGGTGGAATCCTGCTGTACAGTGGAGTTGATTTATCACAACCAGTTGTGTTACAGTGTGTGCGTACATGAGTGTCTGGCTTTTTGCTGGTTCTCATGTGGTTTGAATTGTCCAGCTTGCTGGCAGCACTTACAGTCATGTGTGCTTTTATTTAAACTCAGTGAGACATTTAGGGCTCTTACACTTGTCCCTTTGAATTCAAGATCACAAAAGAAAGAGCAGGTTTAATATGGTACACGCAGATGATTAGAATTTTTATTTTGCTATATGTGGAATCAGAATAGACTGAAGTTCAGTAATGAGAAACCAGTTTGCTTTTGCTTTGTGTTCATTCATTTCTCCATGTCTGGCTTTCACATTCAGTCCTCCCTCGATGACTTTTCATGTTTCTTTCACCCCTCCTCTTGACTGAGACTAACTAAGCAGGAACTCTAATTTGTGTCCTAATGATGACAGACTGAAGATGTTTCCTTTTGGTCGAGTGACAGAGAATACTTACTGTAATACCACAAGGATTATATTATATTAACTCAAGATCAGTGTGTGGGTGTCTCTGTGTATACAAGTGAATGAGAGATATCCATCGTCAAACTTTTTTTTTGTGATGAGGAAAGCAGGTCTTAGAATGACACTTGGATAAAGGTCATCAGTGCATGACTTATTTGTCAAAGTTGGGGTTCATATTCTGATGAATGACCAGGGGTTTTACTGTTCACCAAGAAAAGTCACAGTATGTAGCCACCCAAGCTGAAATAGTTTTTGGAAAGAGTAGCAGTCATTGGATTCATACCTTTAAATGATCAAGTACACAGTACAGCATGTGTCAGCAAATCGATAAAACATCACAAAAGTCTTCTTACTGACTGACATACACAATGATTAGTTTAACAGATTAGGAGAAATGTAGTTTCTACTGAGAAGTGGTCCACACCCTGGCTCATGATTTATATAGTGGAACATTAACACCACACTGAACATCTGCTTATGTGTTTTGTTTCCCTAAAGCTGCCTTTAAACACGTGGATGAGACATCTAATAGCTTCAACATTTCTGTTCCTCATCTAATGAGAGTGGCTCTGACAGTGACTCCTCACAGCCAGGAGGTGGCTAGCTTATCTGGGGGTGACAGTGGTGAAGTGGGTAAAGCAGGAAGGTTAGAGGTTCGAATCTCGGTGCCCGCAGTCCACATGTCGAAGTGGCCTTGGGCAAGACACTGAACCCCCAAGTTGCCCGTGATGGTGGCGGGTATGCATGCAGCGGCCCGGGGTGCTCGGCTCCAAACAAAAAAAGGGGGTGACAGGGGTGCGGTGGGTAGAGCAGTGGTCTCCCAACCGGAAGGTTGAAGGTTTGAATCTTGGTGCCTGCAGTCAACATGTCGAAGTGTCCTTGGGCAAGACACTGAACCCCCAAGTTGCCCGTGATGGTGGTGCGTAAGCATGCAGCAGCCCGGGACCCGTGGCTTTTTTGAATTTGTCATAAATGTATAAATTCACTAATATCTTTATTATTGAGGTCATATTTAAAGGTGGTGTTGTACTGAACTATGCTATATTCAGGGGTGTTCCTAATATTTTGACCCTCTCATGTATGCAGCTGGAGAGGACAAAAATATAGAGACACCCCTAAATTGTACAGGTGTTCCTAATAAAGTGGCCAGTGGATATATAGTCCCTTGTTACTGTTAGTTCTCTGTTAGGCATTGTTTTTCCTTTCTCTCTGTATAGTTTGAATGGGTTTGTCACTGGGTCAGATGGCAAAAGGAATAACAGCAGTGACAAGATACAGAAAAATGCTAATGGCGCACATGGCATACTCTATGTGTGTATTATAAAAGGAGACAGAGTGCTATTTGTATTCTAGATAAAGGGCTAATGGGGAAAATAGATGGGCTGCAGATTTGTGAATGATAAGAAAAAAAGCAATAAAGTTGTCTCTGCTAGAACAATTTAAACTGACATACAGCTAAATTTGATCTGGTTATAATTATTTTTAAAGATGACAGAGCAGCCGGGCCAAATGATCCTGGCGCTGATTATCCAATAAAAAAAGCTGTAATGGAACATAAACCCAGATAAATGCTTGAATGCAAGCACCACGGTTGTCAGCTTAATGACGTTACTTTCTTTATTTCTACAGTGGAAAACCTTCCAGTAAAATGAGCTGTGCTGCAACTGTAGGTAACAACTGCAAAACAGCATCAAACTAAGTGTGTTGTTGTTCCGTTAATCCAGGCTAAGATCAGTCAGGTTTAACTGATCTAAAGACTGTAGGTTTTTTAGTCTATAGTCAGCTCCCACAGGCTTTTTATTAGTGTCTTTGATCCATGAACAAATCCTGGAAAAGACCACAGTCTTTATTTTACTTTATTAAATTTGTGCATTTAATCTTATAAAGACCAGAAAATTACTTTGCAGTTCAACTGTTTTTGTCTCTTTATAATATTGGCACATTGTTCCTGATTTTTGTGAGTTTATAGGGTTGAATTATATTTGACTACAGCAGCAATTGTCTGGTAATGCGCTGTTTAAATTGAATTACATGCCTGTAAGTTTGTCACTTTATCACAGTTTGACCAGTAAGGTGGGTGAGAGATTCTACAGGCTTTCAAAGATCAGTATCATTATTATCAACTTCTCATAGAACTGGGCCAACAGAATGGTAACTGGTTACTGATCTGAAGTATGTGTTACTTTACTTAACACGTAGCACAAATCTTTCCCTGAGAATTTCTGCATTGCAATGCATTTTGTATTGTTATGTTAATAGCTTTCAAAATACAAACTTTTGGTTCACGGCCTTCGGAGGCCTAATGGTTTTCTGTCAGCGTCATTGTGTGTCCAGCTCTCCTGCTAAGAGAAGTTGTACTTGGGCACAGCTGTGGGAACAATGCAGTTGAGTTTCTGTGAGTTTCTTTTTTTAGTGAATCATTTTTCCACAAATTTTTATCTCCTGTGTCAAAATGAATTTCATTTGATGAGCCCAATAAAAACAACTGATATCTCATTACCTAGACTGACTGTTCTGCTATTTGGGAAATATATCAAATACATGTGGCGCACATGTGGTCATAACATACACACAAAGGCCCACAAACATGGACACACACAAGTAGATTGCAAAAAGCTGGTTGCCTGGGTTGTTGTAGGTTCCAATGAATCTCTTCAGTAGTGCTACAGCTAATAATGATTTTAGTTATTGATTATTCTCTAAGAAATATACAAAAGACTTGTGAAAAACGCTTATTACAACTTTCCAGAGCCCAAAGTGATGTCCTCAAAGTGCTTGACTATTACTCCAAAACCAAAACAAATTTTATTTCATTTAACTTGTCATATACTGTATGGCAAAGACAAGTAGCACATCTTATATGAGAAGCAGGAACCAACAAATATTTTACATTTTTAAATTAATAGATAGAAGTGAAATCTGAGAGAATGGAAAGAGGTTTAACTTTGGGAAGTTAGAGGAATTACAAAAGCAGGATGTTTCTAAAGGTTTTATCTCGAGGCAGTCCCTATTTAGCAGTATAATTATCCTCTGTAGATGTACACCAAAGTACCTCTACTGTTCATTTCAACCAGTCATCCTGTGCCTCGACAAAAGCACCTTCTGTATTTCACTGTTACATGCTTCAACTGCCAATGTCAGGCTAAATACTTGATTCCCAAGAGTAAAGTTATTTCAAGGTCCATTTGACATTTTAATGGGTCTGTGTTCATGTGTCAAGTGTTTTTCACTTGTCATTGTGTAGTCTCAAGAACTTGATGTGTAGGAGGGAGATACAAACTAAGACACAGTGGATGTGTGGTGTACTGTGATGTGCCTTCACCCGTCACTTTATTAGGTACACCTGTATAATTGTTCGCACTTCATTCCAACATTTCCACCTTAACATCTGTTTATGAAGCTCAAAATATTTCAGTTTTTGGTGAAATTGTCATAAATGTGTAAATTCACTGATCTGTTTATTATTGAGGTCATAGTTAAAGGTGGTGTTGTACTGAACTACATTATATTTCAAGGTGTCTCTATAATTTTTTCCTCCCCAGCCACATACATGAGAGGGTCAGAATATTAGGAACACCTCTGGATACAATGTTGCAATGCAGTGATGTTGTTTTCCTGTGATGGCAATGAATTACTCACTCCCCTCCACATGTGCATTCACATACAGTCAGCAAGGAAGTTTAGCTCACTTCAACTCCTTGTATCTTGCAAACTTATGCATTTGCTCTACCCATGTTATATGCATGCAAAGAGGTGAAGAACAACAGTGGAGATACAGAACATTTGTGCAAGAGATATGCTGCACCTTATTGTTTATCCATGAGATACACAAGCAAGCACACATGTACAGTAAGATCTCACACTGGCAGCTGCTTGTATTATTTTGAGTCTAAAGGTTGGCTCTTGGTGTGCAGGCAAAGGAACATTGGGGTAATTTTTTCATTTTGTTTACATTGCCTTCTCTAAATAGAGACTGAACAAGATCCCTGGATTGTAAATACATATAATGATGCTTGTGCACAGCCACGTGTACAACAAATACAGTCACACACGTGCACATGTACAGGTGATGTCAGTTTAGATATAGTCTAGTATCTAGTTATTGGCTTTTAACCAGCATGAAATTTGAGGTGATT